TAATCTTATATATATATTTATATTATATATATATATATATATATTGTATATATATATATTTTTTATTTCAAATTAAAAGCACAAATTTGAGATGTATTTTTCACCGCGACCAGACACTATAGAGATTCTATTTAACTGTGAGAAAATTTTAATTAAAATATGCGAAGTTATATATTTATTATATATTGTAATATGACATGTATATCTCTATTTAAAATATTTATAAATAAAAAAACTGTATATGTGTATACATAATGTGTGTACGGAAATGTTTTAAATATTTTTAACATGAAAGTCTTTCATTGTGCAAGCCTTGATAAATTTCAATATAACAATTAAAATATCATAATAATAAGTAATAAGAGAAAAAAAAACAATTAAGACCGCTATAAATACACAATCGAATAAGATACAATAAGCCGTTTCCGTTTAAAGACTTTTAGTTTTAACAGAGGCCACGAAAATTACAAGGCTTGCACTTTAGTTTGATCTTGACTAACACGTACATTCTCATGCACAAAGTCCTAATAAGATCATCTAAATCTTTTTTTTTTTAATGCTATTGTCGAATATATGGCCTTGATGCTAAAATCCATGGCATTCTCCTTTTCCCATTCCCAACCGAATATAGCACTCAAGTTCTTTATCAATGATATCTTTATGATATATATATCGATCGGTAAAAGCTTTATCGGAAATATCTTACACTTGGCTTATTTTGTTAGATGCAATGAGCTAGTGACAACTTCTAATTGTAAGCCAATGCGCGCGCGAACATTTTATAATGATGACAATAATTTGAATGCTCTTTCATTTTAATGCACACACATGGATTACTTCCAAAAATATATATATGTGATCAGCACTGCTGTTATATAGCTCTTATTTGTCTGAACTTTACAAAGATACTATTTTTACTAAACTTTCTGCAGTCCTAAAAGCGATAAAGCAAATATAATTTATGTCATGTTACCTTTGATATATTATGATCTTTACAATTTAATCGTCTGCACAGATAACATCCAATCTAACCAGTTTCGAAATATTATATACATATCGGATACGATTGTATAAGATCTGCGAATCACATACGAATCACAAATCACAATCTCATTATTGTAGCCTTAATTAACGATATAAACGATACATTTTGTAAATCGGTTTTATATATGTTATGTATTTCAAAGCAAATGGACGAACTTGGGTGCAATTTTCGACCCGGTTTCATTTTTCGTGTCGATGCTCATTTTCCCATTGTGATATCTGTGATTAGCCGTTTTATTTCATAAGTATGCGTGTTTACTGTTTACATTTTTTCATGTTACTGCACGCCACGCATACGCATGCGCGAAAAACACTCACCACTCGTCTTTCCTCCATCTAATGGGACGGGGACCTGGCTGCGACCTAACCTAACCTGGGACCAGTGGGACCATCGTCGGGAATTGGGGATTCCCATTAACGTTAGCTTACGTCAGTATAAATAAATGAATTCTCGCGATGCCATTTTATTCATCATCATAAAACAAAACGTTTGTTGTTACGTGTATGGTGTATGTATACATATACGTTGAGAGACGTTGAGAGTTGAGATGTCACAGTGAAGTATATACAAAAGACGTATGTATCGTATTGTATTGTACATACACCCCGCTATGTTAATTGCTACAGTATCGTACCTGACAAGTGACAAATTTTACATATGTTTTTATTACGTATTCTCAACTGTGCGTTCTAACTTCTAACTTGCTCTTTTGTGATTTCTACTAGATTTGAAATGGATAAGAGACGTTAATAACGAAATTTATGAAAATAAGACAAGGACGACGCAAGCGTAAAACGTGCAACTAAGGCTAAGGCTCACTGCAATCAGATTTCCTATTAAGAATTATTAATTTTAAATTTAAAAACGCGCGTCTTTAGTTTTGTTAATAGCGATTAACTTGATTTATATCAAAGATATGGCCAACAGACAAGAGGATATGAGCATAAAGGCAAAGCTTTCAACGTTACATTGCCCATTTACTTGGGAATTGTTGGACTGTATGATAAAACAGTCCACAATTAAAAATGATGAAGATGATCAATTGATGGTGGACGATGAAACAGCTCATCCCTTAGAACGGCTATTAATAAGCTTGTTGAAATGCTACAAAGCTGTGTTGAGCGCAGATAACGATGAAGCAACAAGAAGGATTGAAAAAGCTGGAGAGATTTTAATGGAGATTCAACAAGAGTACGATACACACGCGCTTGATTATATTATTTATGTTATGTTCTTAAAGTCTCTCTTTTAATCTAAAATATATTATATTGCATGATTACAGGAAAGATTTTCATCAAATGATAAGAGCGATCGAACACGTTTTTTATGCCACAAAATGCTTTTCTTTGTACGACGCAAACGATATGGATGGAGTGGAAGAAATTCAAGAAATTTTACCAAATATAATTGATACCGAAGATTTCAGCGACATAGAGTCAGGTGCTTTATACGGTTGTCAAAGTGTCCTATGGTCTTGTTTAAAAGATTTCGGTATGGACAAAGCAGTTGACACTGCTAGGAAAGCAGTCGAGAAGAATCAAGATTGTGCATTATGGCACTTTATTCTTGCAAAGAATCTTAGACGTCAAAGACGTTTAATAAATGTCTCATCTAACGTATCGGATATAGAAAGAGAACATTTCGAAATAGCATACGCTATGTCTAAGAATCACGTATTTGGAATATATTATTTACAAATGCGTATAGAAAGGTTTTATAAATTTAGCAGAGAAAGAGAGTATTTAATGAGGAAAAACGCTAATGAAAGAGAAGTGATTCAAATAGCGAAAGATATTTTAAAAGCAAAACCAAACAGCACGAAAGTGCTCTTAAGACTAGCTAAGATGTTCATGCGTGTCAGCTCAGATGAGAGAATATCGGCAAAAGAGTGTTTGGATGCTGTAAATGAAATAGTACCAAATAATTCGACGTATCTGCATTATACCGCAATGTTGTATGAAGAGAGCGGAGATTATAAAGTCAGTATAGTAATATAATAATTTTATTGTACTGTTTTAAAAGAGATATAATAAAATACGTATAAATTCTATAAAAGAATTCTGATAACAATGAATAGAGATGAGTTGCTAATGTAGCTATCGACGCAAAATATTTTTGATATTTAAGCAAATTTTAATTTTGTTTGAAAAAAAAAATATATATTCCTTTATCGACATCTGTGTGTGTGTCGCTTATACTTATACGCTTATCTATTAATATATATATATCTTGGTAGTTTAATGGTTTAGATATTATATGTATATCATCTCTCTTCTTGTTCCTTAAAAAGATTATACATGTTACATTTTTTTAGGAAGCTTTAAAGTATTTCAAAAAGGCTGCCGAATGTAATAACTTTGTGGCAGAACTTTGCTATATACAGTATGGATGGGAAGTAGGAGAGCTGGAACCCTTACCACATTTATTGCGAATGTTGAAGAAGTATGAGCACTCTGTTAAAGAACGACAAATATCTATATTGCTGGCGATTGCAGTAACTTATTATTCTCTCCATAAAGACATACCAAATGCGGCAGACTATTTTTTAAAAGCTCTTACTGTAGATCCACTGAACAAAAAGTTCCAGGTACTTACAATTAGATATAATAATATAATTGAAACACGGCGCGTGTGCGGCGTACACACCATGTACACAATTCTACCTATATATGTATATTGTTTAAGAAATAGTTTATTGCCTGTCATATATATTAATAATTCATAGCAGTTCAAATAGCTAGTTTAAATACTTAAGTGACAGAGGCAATGAACTATTTTTTTAATTATTGAACGTATTAATCATTCTTTTTTCTAGACGTCTTACAAATATCTTGATTTCCAAAGTGTGAATATTTCATCTTTTTTAAACGATAAGTTTTGTCCTCTTCTGGAGAAAAAATATTCAAGGACACATCAAGAAACGTGTGAAGAAATAAGAAAGTTCTTGAATGTAAAGGATATGAATGATCTATTGGAAGAATTGTGCACCTTATCTGTGGCTAAAGCATACACTTTGATTTGAATATCAATTATTATCAAAATATTTTATAACGTGTTATTTCAAATATCTTAATTCCATGTTTTAGTATGAACTAGAACTATAGTCGTTTTTATTTTCTTTTCTACATGTTTTACAAGTTTTTTTGAGTACCTTGAGAGTATTCATCTTCTTATCAGTTTAATCTTCAGAATAAGTACCTATGTATGAGAAACGTACGTATTAAGAAATGGATAGAGAGAAAAAAGCTCTTGAGTGTGAAGAACATAAATGATTTAACGAAAGAATTGTATGCCTTATGTCAGTAAGGAGTAAGAGCAAAATAAAAGCAAAATAGACGATCTATAATCGCTATGTTATCAAATTGACGTATCCCTTCTCCCTTCCTAGAACATTATTATTATGTCTTAAAAACATGTCTGAAAGATATCTAAAAATTTCTAGGGCGCCTTTTTAAGAACGTTTTAAATCGATTTAAGTATAAGACAAGCGTGCAGCGTGCAGACTGCAGGGTAGTGCAGAGTTAAATTTCAAGATTTTCAAGGTGCACCGAATGCGCCGCGATTATACACGTAGACGTAGACGTAGACGTAGACACGTGTGAGGCCGGGTCTACAATGGGTGTCGTAAGAAATTGACCAATCACAGTCGAATTTGAGGAGAATAATCGACACTCGTGGTAGACTCGGCTCGGCCTATGCGCGATTCCCGTCGACGATCAACGACCAACGACGGCAACGATTGGATTGGATGTGGATGCGTGCGAGTTGCGAGTTGCGAGACGCGCGTCCACGCAAGACGCAAGTGAAGATTCAAACTTGATCGGCGGCCGGGCCGGTCGACGCGCGAGCGCGATGAACGTTACTGGCGTTCGAGTGAGGATATACGACGAGGGAAAATGTATCCATGAGCACGAGGCTGCTCGATCTGAGGCTGAAAACGACCTGAGGACGTTGATGCAAAATCTACGGGATACGCGATCGGAAGTCAACGATTTCTTGACCGCGATAATTCAACGAGACGCGCCCGGCAGGGCGCAAGGTAACACGATATGATATACGCTATACGCTATACGCTGCAAGTAATTTGTTTTCTTCCCCCCTGTAATGTAATCTACAGCTTGATTTTCGCTATTTTCGCAGAAATGGCGAGTCAATCGATCTCTTCGGACATCGAATCGGACTCTGTCGAGGAGGAGGAGGAGGAGGAGGAGGAGGAGGAAGAAGAGGAAGGCGAGACGCAGGCTAACCCCAAAAAATGCAAGTTGTCGACCTAAATTGTGTATTCCGTACATAAATATTAATAAATATTATTACTGTTGACACTCTGAGACGAAGCGTTCGAATGCTGTTTCGTGAATACTGTGAATATGTTCCCGGCTTCCCGTCTTTCCACATGCGTTATTTTCAGAGCGTGAAACACATTTTTCGCGAATCCGTCATCCGTCGTGATGCTCGTGATGATAAAATTGATAAATGGCTAGAAAGCGATGACACATGCAACGCGTTTCGTGCGTGAGAATGATGAAGAATGATAGCCGTTGATAACTGTTGATAGCTGTTGTGCTGTTGAGCGACCAGACACCAGACTAGCGACCACGGACCGACGGACGGCGGCGCGCACAGGCCCGATAAGCCGAAACCCTACTTGGTAATTCGCCGTTATACCCGGGTCAAGTCAATTATCTCTCGCACCCAGAGTATCCGGACAGGACAGGTTACTCATTTCTCGGGTTCAGCCGTCCAGCGATCCAGCCGCGTTTGCTTTGCACCGAGACGAGAATCGAGAATGGCGTTCATAACCTAACGAGAGAGAAAGAGCATTCGCGCGATCCTTTGCCACGCAAAATTCGCCTTCTGTTCGCAACATTCGCAACTTCGCACTTGATTCTCTTCGGGGTACTTAAATACTGCTGCTGTCATTCTGACTCGTCTAGTTACAAGGACATAATGTAAACAAAAAATAGGCAGCTGATAGCTGTATTTAGCGATTTAATTGCACGTGCAACAAGCATACATACAGCACGCATTATGTGTACGTGTATATAATGTGTAACAATATTATTATATACATATGTAATCTGACAGCTAGCGGAAACGGAACCTGTCATCTCTCGTACTCATTTAAATTAAATTCGCGAATGCGAATTGACGGATCTTGTTCTGTTTCTATACTCAATCTGCGTACCTCATATTAGCAATTTTTACCTTACTTCTGTTGACAGTTTATTGACAAAATTTATAGCGGACACTTTGCAAAATGTGTCACAGATTTGGCTATCCCTATGTGTGTGTGTGTTACGTGTGTTTTAAGCTGTGTGTAATATATATAATATAATATATATATAAAATTTCCCCAAAACTGCTCCCATACTTGAACTTCTCTATGTCAAAAAGCTATTTTATACAATCTTTTTTTCTATCAGTCCTCTTTAAAATTAACTACTGTAAAATGCAATCATGATAAAACTTGTGTTTTTTTCCTGTCAAAGTCCACAACTGACTGTTGGAATCTTTTTCTTTTTAAGCGGGAACCATGTCTACTATGTTATCAAACGAGGCTCAACTGCGTTACATGATAGAATGGTTTCAAGAATGGTCCGAAATGCAACGGAACGATTTTCTGGGTGTGTTGCTGGAGAATTGCGGTCCTCCAGGGCTTGTGAATGGACTGGTGGCTGGAATAGAGAAGTTGGGTTGCGAAGGATCTGACAGGCCTCCAAGCTTGTTTCAGTGTCGCATCAAGCTCTTCAGAGAGTGGAGTAGCACGTGGTCGCAATGCGAGAAAGATTCTTTATTGGCAGCTATTAAGAGTACAGATAGTAAGTTTGCTGAAAAATATGAAGAAAGATTATCATCGTTGACGGAAGATAAATAGTAACGAGCAAGCATCTTGCATCACTTTACAACTTACAAATTCCATGTAGAAATGTAGCATTTCTCTAGGTTTCCCCCCCCCCCCCCAATATAAATTCGAGGAAAGTTTGTCTTTTTATATTTATATATTTATTTCCTTATATATACAAATATGAACTCTAATATTATAGAGTGTCATGAATAAAATCACGATGTTAATCATATATCAAATTGTCTGCATAGCACAATTACATTCTTCATGTATCAAAATTTAGCTTATGCCGTTTTCATGATAAAAGAATTCTCTCCAACTCCCATTAAATATTTTATCCTCATAAAATATTTGGAAAAATATATCATTTTGAGATGGATTCATGTTGTAGCTATATATCGACTTAATAAAAATGGTTTAAGACAAAATAAGTAAGATAATTGTATAAATATTTGCAAAATTGTAAATTTTTTGTATCTTTTCTGATGTTAGAGATGTATTTCTTATTCTATACATTCCTCTGTCTTTGCATTTCATATCCTTTGTACTTGAACATTGTCATTATAGCCAAGTTTTATCTATATTAATTACAGTTGTTATATATTTTCTATGCATATTCAGATATACATAACATAAACGGCTGTAAAAATAAGATGTGAAATAGGGATTATTTTAGATTTAAGAAAGGCATTTATGTAATTAATTTTTTAAGAAAAATTAGAGAATATTTTATGATTTTCAATGAATGTTACTATATTAATAGTAATTATATAGCTTCAAGAATTTTTTTAATGATAAAACGAGAATAGGTCGATTCTTCAATAGAAAATCCGGTTTGTGACGTTCAAAATTTCAAATCCATATTTTTTATAAGCTTAAACTTTAATTCTTAGATAATAAAAACAAAAATTTTTTTTAGATTAATTCTACATTGTAAGATAATTTAAACTTGTATTCCATTATAATCTACTTACGTGTATAGACAAAAAAATTAAAAACCGCACGCATACTTACTCACATACACACATGCACGTACATCACACCGAAACTTTTGCAATGGATACAAAAAACTTTATTGTATTACAATAAACACTTTCCTTAAATATTGTTTATAATATATATCAATGATAATGATAACATCTTTATTTTCCTTTTTCTTCCTGATGCTTATCCTTTTGGTTCTTGTTGTAGCCACTTTAAGCATATCGCTTTAATTGCACTTTGACCGAGCCTATCTGATTCTTTTAAAATTCTCCTTATGTCTTGTGCCCTAGAATGCTTAACGGCAAGCAGATACGCAGCCTTCAGTTGTTTACTTTCAATGTATGCATTTATCTGGAAAAGAATAGTATTGCGAAATATATAACCAGTTACAAATTAGAAATCTCTTGACATACAATATATATTGACATAATTGAAGTAAAGCTCACTCTAAGTTCTGTGTCGATTATTAGTCTGATTAAAGTATCTATATGATTTTTGAGTGTCGGATTCTGTTCGGTGTACGAGTGAGTCAACAATAATTTCACACAGTGTGCCAAGACGTGATCAGAAATAACGTGGGCGTTATGTGCTCCAGAGCTGCGGCAGCATTTGATCAATTGCTCGATTGCGGCTACGTTACTTTTTAAAGCCAATACATGGCCAGCTAAAGAATACACCTTTTGTTGCGGAAGATTATAATCTATAAAAATGATACATATACATTAACAAAATGTTAGTTGGCGCACATAATATAGCAGCACATATTGTTACATTAATAATGAATTGTTGCTGATAATACTAAATATACATACCTTGTATTATCCGAAAAGCTATGCCGAATCCTTCCCCAATATCACGGCCGCACAATATAGCTAAAACGGATAAATGTATCTTCTGCTGTTGATTGCCAAATAACGTAGGCAACTCGAGCGTCGCCGGGGGGTTATCGCTGTCAATATCTGGGAAGAGATTTAAAAATTCAGTCGAGACTCTTTCTTCTTTTTCGCAGTTCGCTAGAAACTTGACAATTTCCGTCTGTCTGCATATAGTGTTTATATGCCTGTCTATCTCCGAGGGTTCCATCTCCATCGCTAAAGTACTTTGGCCACTGTGCACCGAGCTTATGTTCTTTCTTCTTTTGGTCAAGCTCTCCATCTGCACGTCCGACTCCAAGTGCTTTTGAGCGTCTTGCAACAAATGCGCCCTGTTGTGCAAGTCTGAATAGGTGTTCGCTTCGGTAGTATAAAAACGGATGCACGTCATCGATGCTCTCACGCAGTCCCTCATGAAGAGCTGTATCTGGTATAAAATATGCCAATATTGCTTCCTTTCCATGAAATGACAGACGGCTATCAGGTACTTCCTCCAAATGACCAAAGTGGGATCTTTTGCCTTCATCGCATCGTGAAGTTTCTCGACGTGGCCGTTCCTCAAACAGTACAAGTAAACCCCGTTAAGAAACAAATCACGCTCCATGTCATTGTCCAAGATATACGCCAGGCACTTGTCAAACTCTTTATGCTTCAAAAAGAACTGTAAGATGGAGGTATAACTTCCATACGCCAACAGATAGTACAGACTTTCTTGATAGTAAACTGTCTGATTAGCGGGTATTAGATATTTAACGTTAAACTGATTTTGGCTAACAGCTTTCAAGCTGTTGAGCGTCTGTAAGATTTCCTGCGCCGCATCGGACTTGGGTTGCGGACTCGAATGCTGTGTTCGCGATCGGTATGTACTCAAGTTATCTAATATTTGCAGAATCTCTGTCAACAGCGGCGGATCTTTCAGCGGCCGGCACTTGGAATATTCACTCCTCTTTAAGTGACCGCCTTTGCTGCACGCCTTTTTTCCCTCGTCCAATATTTCGTCTCTCTTCGGCCCCGACGCGGTTGTCCGTTCCGTTAACTCTGTCTCGGGGTTTTCGATCGACTCTTTGGAATAAGATAGCACGACCCAATCGTCGAGATCCTCGTGCACAATTTTGTCGAGGCAATGGTGGAACTTTTCTTTCGCCTGTTCCAAGTATCCCACCTTCAAACAAGACTTTCCCCAGGCGGCCCACACGCCCTGCGTGTCCAATCCTGCCTTTGTGCTGACGTCCAACGCCAACGTCCAACGCTCCTTCTCGGTGAGGAGATCGCGTAATTTTCTCAGCGTGTGCTCGTCGAGGTCATCGTCGGTCGGTATAAGAGCCACACAATCAGATTTAACTAGAGTCGCAATTAGATCCACCTGCGATAGGAACCGATCGCAATGCGCGAGGCCGGTATTGAAACCAAATTTCGCGCATTTCATCTTAGCCGCGACCAATAGAGAACGTATCATCTTGATGATCACCGCGTGATCAATCTCGGGATTTATCCTGCCGCCATTAACGGGTTGGAGCAATCGCTTCATTTCATCGCAACGGTCCAAGAGGAAACTGTGTGCGGTAACAAGATTCTGTTTTACTTATTTCTTACAAATTTAAACACACAACATTTTTAATAACATCTTCTTTCTTAGGAAACTTACAAATTAAATTATTACCTGGTATATATCTTGGGATCAAAGTGCAAATTCAGAATAGCAAGACACAGCGAAATATTTGGGGCATACTCGAACGAAAACTCTTCTCTTATGGTGCGATTGTGTCTTTCGTCTCTTGTCAATCGCCAATAATCAAACAACTCGCTGCTGGATGTCGACGGGACACTTTGCACCGCACGCATTTGCAATACCGTCTGATGCTTGCAATCGTCGCACACGCGTACCAGCACAGTACTAGGATAACCAGCAACTTGCATGCGATGCTGAGAACACATGGCACAAACAACGCGACCGCATCGCCGACAGTGGTGTCGTCTGTTAAACATGGAAAATATCACAGCCTTGCAGCAATCGCATTCTCTCGCCTATTAAACAAACGATTTTTGTTATGTCAATTAATAACCGAAAAATACGGGTATAAAATAAGAATCAAGCACATTTTTATTTTGGATAACGTTTTAAAAATACTTTTCGAATTACCCTATCATTTGGGACCCATTCCTCCTTAGTGGGCACGTTAACAGGCATAATAAATTCGTTGTCCTCCGTCTCAAGATTAGATTGTGAAATATTTCTGGCTTTATTTTCGGTACCGTCACGCTGATGGAGCGATACGCGAAAGTCCAACGACTTTTTGGCGTAAAACCGTATAACTTTGTCAAAATTGCTGATACCTATATCGGGATGTTGCAAAACCTCATGCAGCATATTCAAAATCTTTTGAATATTTTCAAATTTACTATTCATCAATAATTGCTCCAGCATCAATAATGGCTCTCTTATCAAGTGGATGTATAACGCTCTGTCTTTATTTTCCAACATCTTCAGAATTTCTAGTCCCACCAAAGTTTTCCGGTACTTTGGTTGCTCTACTATTCTACAGTGGTCCAATAAATAGTTGGCGATAAATTGCAATGCGCTAATAGATTCTAATTTCTTGAGAACCCCTTTACATATCTTTACTGACTGCGTCAACGGTAACGCTTGAAGAAACTAAAATATTTATTATCGAATTATTGACATTGTGACAAAAGTATATTTACAAGGATATATCAACGATTTTTATGTAGATAGAAATCTTGTATACCTTTAAAGCTTGCTTGAAATCTTGCTGTTCATTTTTTAAAAGGCCTATCAGAAAATCTTGGATCACAGGAGTTTGCATCTCCAGAGAAAATGCTTGACACTCCAGCCACTCTAAACATAACTCAAACTGATCCGCATCGATCAGGGACTTGATGATCTCAAACGGATCGACCTTCTCTGTACAATATACGATGTCGTACCATGTGCTGTTCGACCTACTCATGCAGTACGGAATCATTTTATGGAAAATCGTTATTCTGCACGAGATGCCGTTCATCCGATGTCTGCAGTGCACTGGCAACTTGTGACTGTGCTCGTGCTGCAACGCGTGGCTTAACGCGTGTTCGCACAAAATCATAGGCCACTTGTTAATGTTGTGCAATATCATTTGCGCCAGTATGTGTATATCTTTGATTTGATACAGGTACTGCAGCATTCGTGTGATAGATAGGACACCCAGATTGGACAGCATGTGACTTAGAATCAGATCCTTGAATCGCTGCAGCTCTGTATTATATTTTATGACGCTGTCAGCTAAGGCGTTTAATATCTCCAAAGAATTTTGCCAATTATGATCTTTTCTAAGCTCGAAATAATGCCATACGTCGTGCACAGGTACACTATCGTGAATAGCGGCGAGAGTTTGATTATTGTTAAATAAGAGTTTCAGCTTGTCAACCCACGAAGACGTCAAGAGATTCTCGAGACACGCGGTACGTTTTATATTATCGTAATTGTTCTCCAAAATAGTCGGATTCTCGTTATGCATCCTCTGTATAAGATAAGAGAGGAGCCAACAATGTCTTTCCAGATATTGCAACAAGCTAGGTCTTAATTTGCGAGTCTGCCAAAATGATGTCTGTACGATCACATTTGTGGTTGTAACGCTAGATGTACTATGTCCAGAATATTTTAGTATCACTTCGTACGTATAATTAGACATAGCGTATTCCACATCTACATCTCCGTTTAATTTTTCGAAATCATCCGCTGGAAGCAAACTCCTACTAACGTTTGTCACATCGATATCAGTATTTCGTGCAAAAGTGTTTTGATACCGCCTCACAAGATCAGGCAGGTTGATTTTTCGCCTTGGTCTATCTATAGATATGTCATCGGGCGACACCGATGAGTAATATGCGATATAATCGTGAGCCACGTCATTCAACTCGTCGTTCAACGTCTGCGCCTCGTACACCTACAATGTTGAGTACATTGATCATATATATCCATCTGTTTTTTACCATTGATGAATAATTAATCGAGCGTTAGGTATAGCTTACACGAATCTCAGGCGTGCCATAAAATTCATTAGCCATGGCGAAGATTATTTTTGGATTCTGCACGAGATCCAAGTCCTGCCATGCCAATTCGTTAAGTTCCTCCACACGTGTGAAGAATTTAAGATTTTTATCGTTCGCGAGGCTACCCAATAACTTGGATCGGAGAGCGGCGAGTGTCACCAAGCCGAGATCGCCAATCATGTAACCGATCGATGTCAAGGAGACTGTATGCCTCAAACTTTGGAGAGGCGGATCCTTGGACCACACATCCAAATTTGCATGTAGGAACATGATGTTCCAAACGTTCAAGAAGAATGTCAACGTTTCGTCTCCTACGGATAATTCGCCGAGATCAAGGCTGGCGAGGCTCGCGGTCTTATTTAGAATCATCCGTATGTCCGTATGATCAGAGATACTTCTCAAGTGTGAATTATCCAGATGAGATTGTCCCGAGCTTACGTTGCGCAGAACCTGCAGGAGCTCTGCCAATATTTCCGAGACACATTGATTCGGTCCTTTAACTGTGACATTTTTCGCACCCTGTAAAGAAACGGCGATAATTCCGTATTATACTACTATACTGCTATGTGCTGTTAATTGGCAGTAAAAATTTGGCGTATTTAATAGATTCGTAGTTTACGGTAATCAATACCGATTGATTGGGTACTTGGTATTGATTCAGTATAATGCATTCAGAATCCTTGATACTGCTGCAGTTTCTTTCATTATAACAAGAAATACTCGGACATGCATTTACAAGGATGCTGTATATCAAGTTCACTTGCAAACCAAAAGCGATTTTTTCAAGCTTATCTGGCTCCGTGTTCAAGTCGAATATCTGATATCCAAAATAATGATGTAATGGCGTCTTCAATAAATCAAACACTGTCCGTACCGTAGTGTCGTCTGAAAACGAAATAATAACAAATTATAGTACAAGTCTAATTAGTTTAACGAGTGAATTAAGGTAAATAAACGAATAAATTTACCAATACCTGGAATAATAGTGGATACAAGCTGCAGGTAAGAGTAGACGTTGTAAAGATATTTTTCGCTATTAAAAATATCAGACATTTTTTCTATCGTTTTTAACCCTAGGATATAATTATTGTCGCAAGATCGCGCCTCTGTAATCTCCGCTCTCTCGAGATCGTACAACGTGCGATAATTATTCTCAAATTCGCACCAGACGGCATCGTTCTCTTTCCAATCCTTTATGTACAATGGACGTCTAGCGTCACACAGTATCGTTGTCATAGGCGTATTATTTTTATTTTCATAAAACAATTGATGGATTCTCGAGAAGAAACTTGCGTGTCCTGTGCTGTCAAACGTTTCACAGAGCTTCAAATACTTCATGGCTATGTCACATAGATTATTTGAGATCTGATATGTTTCGCCTATAGTCAAACTTAGATCCAGCACGCTAAGAGTTAATATTTCGTCACTGCGTAAGATATTTGTATCCAACATTCGTAAATGTACTTGTTGAGACGCCAGAAATGTTTCAAGTTGGTTGATGTATCTAGAGGATTGTACACCTTCTTGTGCAGCAAATTTTATATTCTGCAAACACATATTGTAACACTCTTACACATAATACTTATATTTCAGTAAGATATTTATCGTACAACATGCCATAGAATATATATGTGTTTACCTCTAGTGTACAAGTTCTTGAGCTTTCTTTAGAAGAATCGATTGCATCTGAAGTACAAATGTGTTTACATATATTGTGCTTAAATTTGTGAAGCGCTTCCGCAAATCGAATCTCGCCGTCTAATTGTGTGTTTTCCATGTGGAACATCTAAGAAACAGAATATACATACATAACGTTACCTACATACATAACAATATCTAAATAACGTTAGAAAAAGCTTAAAATGTTGTATCGAAGAGCGGCTGCGTTTCTAATGATTCAGATTCGTGTTTTACAAACAATTTCTCACGCAGTTAAGTACTTAAAGCAAACCGTTCGTTTTCTATACTTGAAATTTTTATATATCTTGATTAAAATTACAATAGTTATCTATTATAGATTGATATGCGAGACATGAAAGTCTTTGAAATTGCACTGGATGATGTGACGTACGATGAGGAGAGCGAAAATGAAATGATTCAACCAGGAGATCTTGCGGATTTAAAACCTCTCGTAGAGGATGAAGGCAGATATGGACCGTTACATTCTCATGTAAAATATTACAATGAGCGTAACGCCGAAGGCAAGAAACAATATTCAGATGTATTTTTCTACTTACGATCACACACGAAAGAGATATTCAATTTGGAGCAAGAAAATAAACCATTTGTCGCTGGTTTTAAGCATAATTTGGATAAGGTAAATATCTTACTGGAAGAAGAGAGGGTCAACAAAAGGTTTCTTTATACATATATAAGATTTTATTAAATCTATGCTTTTAAACCAGTATTTCTTCAAAACCACGAAGCAGAGTGTTGATGTAACATCAATCAAGACAATTAATCATATTGAGTCTGAAAAGAACAAGAGAAATGCGCAGATTTTTAAAAAATTACAGAATTACAAAAAGAGCACAACAAATGTTGCCACAGGTACTAATTAATATCATTACTAATACTAATTAATACGATAAATCAATCACATGACGGTATATATTGATAAATGAAGAGAGAAGGAATAAAGAATAGCCTTCCATTGCCAAACAAACAGACAAAAGTGTAAAAGGCGTAGTTAGAGTAAAACGCGAAGAGACAACCAACCATTATGAAACAACTTTGAACGAAGAGATGGATTTTTTTCAAGTGATAAGAAACAGAAATGTTACAACTGAAGAGATGGAAACGACTGCAGGATACTTGGCGAAAACGCCAGAGACATATACACAATACAACTTGTACGAATATGACCAGGAAACTATGAGTGACGCGACGAAAAATCTTCTGGACCAGTCTTCGATCTCGGAAAGATCATCTACACTCGCAGATAACGAAAGTTCTCACGAAGAATCATATGATTATGAAAGATTCAAAATGGAATACGAACAGCAGCTCGAATACGACATAAAGGAAGGGAAAATACTGAATTATACTGACAATGAGAAGAAAGAACCGCTGAAGAATACGCTGAAAGGAGCATTGAAAAGAATAATGGATTTGAAACGACCCAAGAACTGTACGAAGGAAGAATTAAGTCAGATTGGAATTAAAGCCATAGAATGCCTTTTGTACGATTATCAGCGCGCGAAAGACATAACGACTGCGAAGCTGATCCTCTCGAGGACATGGTTGGTTTTCAGAGTTTGGCTGTTAATCTACATTTGCTTCGCAATTCCCTGTTGGTGTCAAAGAGGTGACGCATGATTCTCCTGCTATTCCTGCAGTGGTCCTTCTCTTGATTTAAAAAATATTATATTATTATAAATGGAGAAATATTATTATATTATATGTATATGAAAATTATACTATATTTCAGGATGGTGCTGCTGCTGTTTCCGTTGCAAGTTTTGTTTTCCACGAAAAAGGATTATACTTGTCAAACAATATTACGCAACGAATCCACCTGGTATTTTCGTCAAGGACTTAAAAAAAGTGAAAGATGTGAAAGAGCCTGTTAAATATGAGGCTACTGAATACGAATATAACGCGTACAAAACTTTTGAAGCTGCGATAAGAAATATATGAATATTACCGCGTTCGCTAACCGCTATTTACTAACCGCATATAACTTGTGTATGTTGGTCAGAACTCTTTCGCTACGGAAGTAGAAACACTTTCCTGGGTGTACGAATGAGAAATATGTTTTACACACACGCACACACACACACACGTTATGATTGCGTCCAACCTTATTAATAATTAATATGATTTATTCGATGATCATGTAGACGTATCAACTAATGAAACGTTTGTTCAACATAGATCTAATTTGCATAGCAGGAAGACATAAAAGTTGTATGATAGTAGATGCATTATTTGAATAAAGCAACATTACCTCAACTACCTCTTGTGCCTTCTGAAACGTGCCCTTCCACAAACAATGTAAAATCAAACTTTCTTTCGAAGCCAGCATTAAATTGATCAAGGACAGTTTGTCTCTCGTTGACAAATAATCCGCCGTTGTTGTACTGATCTTCGAACGCTTTCTGCGTTTATTGCCGCACAATAAGCCGGCGTCCGAACTACTGTCAGACTTAACTTTAGTTTCATCCGAAGCGCTGTCCCCTTTATAAAAAAAACTGTCTCCCTTGACGCGATGTGGGAAATTTGGTTTTTGAGAGACTAAAGCGTCTGATTTATTTGTAGTAGAGGAACCATCTGATTCGTCCTGCGGACGACCGACATTCTCAATAAAATCAGATCCCATATGGAATTTCAATCTCCAACGAGTGTCCTTCAATGTTGACTTAAAGGTGAGCATATTTTCGCGAAGTCGTTGTATTTCTTCGTGCAATCCGAGTACTTGTAATTCATCGATCTCTTCTGTCGTAATCAAAGTATTCCTCCATAAATAATATAGCATGTCTCTTACAGCATATTTATTAGCTATGAATCCTGACTTGTCATATTCCACCGACTTACGAATAGTGCAATCATCATCTTTGGAACTGGCATTTGTAACGTTGAAATCTTCATAACGTAAAAATAATAAGGAAAATATACTCTCCATTGCCTCCATCCTTGACGATAAAGGGAATAAAGAGGATAAGTATGATATCATGTCAGTGAAATATTTAGTAACTTGTTTATATTCCGTGTTGTAAAATTCACATAAGAAAATAGCTTTTAAGGCGCTTATTATGCAACAATATGCTTGGAAGTTGGCAGATTGGTTCGGAGAAGTGTCCTTCAGCAAATCTTGGATATCACTGTGATCTTGATCGTGTATATTTGTTGTGAGTTTCAAGACGAAGAGTATATTGTGTTTTTGCAAAAGAGACAAAATCTGTTTTACAGATACTGTCCGTTCAATCGCCGTCGCATCAGATTGCACATTTTTCAATTCTCTGCTATCTAATTTCGCATTTACAAAATGTCTCTTCTTCCACTGGAAAATATATACTACAATTCTAATGTGGCTTTTTAAGAGTGTATATAAGTTGTTTAAATCATAGTCGTTGCGCAGATCAGGGTAACACTTCTCTAAGAGAAAGCTGATGGACTCACAGATAAAAATATCATTGTCGTAGCTTTCGCTAGTATCGATCATTTCTCGCGGACAATCGTTTAATACTTTAAACAACAACACTGGATATAACCTTCGTAATAAATCACACGATAACAATAATTCGACTTGGTTATATTTTCTCTTTGTAGTCAAGATGTAACATATATCCTGTAACATATAAAAATTTATTCCAATAGTCACACAATTGTGTAACAAATACATGTATATAATGTATCTGTTTATCCGTTAGCTGTCAAATTGTTTTAACGATTAAAGTTATGTATAAGGAGACTTAAAATACGAAACTTACCAAAATATCATTTAACCAATGCAATTTTCTCGTACATGTTCTCTCAAGTACGTCCTGTTTGCCCAAAGAAATTTCCGAGTTTTCTGCTAATTTAAATATACCTTCGCTTATATTATATGCTGTGGGTAAAGTGGTAGCGCTCTCGAGACACGCGTGTGTCTTGTTCCAAAGTGAAAGCCATTCGCTCAACATTTTCTCATTTTTTCGCGAATATAACGCAAGTTCAATATCTTTAACGTGGTGCGATTTTGAAAGCGTAGGATAGACTATTTTTAAAAATTCGACTTGTGCATCTATATCCACATCTGTATCTATTTTTGACAAAAGGCGTAGAACCACTCGTAAAGGATTGCTGCCATGAGTGGGCGAATCAGCTTCAGAAGAGGAATCGATCGCTATCGTATGATTTAAGCAGCAGTTTCTTCTGGCTGGAATGTGTTCTAGGCATGACTTAAAAGTAGAAAAATAAATGTCTTGTAAATTGCTAACAACATTGTGTGCATTTGGAGCTACAGATATTAATTTGTTTATAATCCAACACACAGTTTCCACATTGACATATGTGTTATCTTTCAGAAATGTAAAGATCTGTTCCAATATAATATTTGAAGTATGTTTTACACTACATTCCACGTTTAGTTGTTGAAGAAATACTGACAATTCCTGAGAAAATGAAGTTTTCGTTTTTAAAAGCATCAAGAGTAACGTGGTAACGTGAAGTTTTGCCAGTCGTAAGTTAGCAGTTTCGCTAGCAATAAGAAAAATACCTTATGCAAACAGTCCGGTACATTGTCGCACATCTCAATTGCATTTTTCATTTGTATACAATCGAATTGCGTTTGAATATTGCACTGTATATCGCAACCAACATTGGACGATTTGCTGTCTATAAGTTTCCACAGCAATACGTAGGCAATCCATTGGTATTGCTCCTCATCCGGAGAATGTCTATAACGAAATGTAAAAGCAAGCAATGATATAATCTATAATGTGTAATTGATAAGTAACGCTTACTCACATCAAGCTCTCAATTACAGTTTCCAATTCTGACAAGTCGACACAGCACGTGTGATGGAATTCTTTCAAGAACGTGCTGTCATTGTTTACGTGGAAAATATTTAAAGATGTATACCATAATCGAGACAAAATGCATTTGTTCAATTCCAGCACTCTTGTTTGTTTCGACATTGTTCCTTTTAAGAGCGTTGCATTTGTTGATACACATATACGTGACAAATGTTATCAAGGCCTTTGCTGCCTTGCACTTGCACCACCACCACCCACCACCTTGCATAAATGCCATAAATGCACACATGCGCACAATGCAGTGAATGTGCCATGATTGCCATGATTGGCCGAGGCCGAGGCAACAGGCAGGCAATCTAGTTGAAATCTACTAGCAGGCAATATAGGAACTTTACTGGCCTCAAAACGCAGGTTTCTCTCTCTGCCATCACCCATGTGACCCATGACACCCATATCCGTCATATCCGTCATATCCATGCCGGCTGCGGGATAGGTTATAAACGTTCCTTTTTTGATTGAGTTAATTTTGCATATTGCGTATTGCGCGATACAAAAGGCAATGGGGAAAAAAGATAAGAAGAAAAACAAGAACAAGATGAGCGGTCCGGTAAAGACTGCACTAAAAACCGAAAAGAAGCTTAATGCTAAGCAGAAGAAGGAATTAGCGGCCATTGGTGAGGTGAGGTTAGATTTGTTCCTTTTTCTCTTTCGTCTTGTATGTACTTATGTATGTAGATCAATGTTATAGAAAAAACGGGAAATCATTTTCATCTAATTGAAACATTTATCTGTTGAGGATTCGATTTATATTTTATCAATTTTATCAATTGTATTTCTAAAAGTTAGCTCGTTACTGTTGCATTTCATGCTTGCTTCTTGCTTCTGCACCAGGATGACATAGAAAAGATTGTTGCTGAAATTGAAAAAGAAGAGGCTCGCAGGCAATGCATTAAGGAAGTGGTGGTGGATACGCCACTTAGACGAGTCAATTTCACTCTGACGGCGCATCCTTTTAAGGATGAACTTATCATGCTCGGCGGCGAGTTTCATGATGGTCGACAAGTAATATGTGATACAATATATCATTACATTGTCCAGCCTATATCATATTACAAGAAGTAATCACAATCCCGTGTCCCCTTTGAATTTTTTCATCACCCAACAAGCTTGATAATGAGAATGCACGCACACATAAATATAGAAAGATTTTATCTAGCACTAGCATCTAGCGCCCTAGCGGTATATAAAAAGAACAGTGGTTACATTGTTTTAAATAAAAACCAAACCAAAATCTAGAAATTATTTCATCTATAATCGCATTTACTCTTTTAATTTTTCCTCTTATTGTTAGACAATCGTTTACGGCGACATGTTCATTTACAATATAAATAAGCGAGAATGGACGTTGGTGAAGGCGCCAGGGGCACCGCCGCCGCGGTGCGGTCATCAGGCCGTAGCCACAGCGAATCACGGTGGTGAATTGTGGGTGTTTGGCGGCGAATTCACAAGTCCGAGCGAGTCACAGTTTTATCACTATCGGGACTTGTGGGTGTTTCGACTTGTTGACAAGAAATGGGAAAAGATCACGTAAGCTTATTACTGATAGTAAGCATGCATATTTAATTATATGTACATATTTACACGTTACACGTAAATATATACATATATATATATATATATATATATATATATATATATATATGTATGTATGTATGTATATATATATATATGAATATTTGTGTATGTTTATTACGCACATGTACATATATGCGTATATGTACCCAAAATATACCCTTGTATTTCACATATGTATAGTATGTTTATTCATATATGATTCTAGAGCTCTAAATGGCCCATCAGCCAGAAGCGGGCACAGAATGGTGCACGTGAAGAAACAGCTAATAGTGTTTGGCGGATTCCACGACAATCTGCGACATGATTGCAAATATTTCAACGACGTTCACATTTTTGATCTGGAGACTTACATGTGGCGGAAAATCGAACCTGCTGGTAAGAGACTAATAATGTCCATTTCTATCAACGCAGATTAATTTTAACCTTGGTTTAACTTACCTGTCATCTTTTTCTAGTTGTAAAAGTTAGAAAAAGATAGAAAGTAAGTTAAACCAAGATTAAAGTTAATCTACATTGGTAGAAATGGGTATAAATGAAATCTAAAGGTCTGTTTCCTATCTAGACAAATTTGTCTCCAATTTTACTGAATATTTGTTTCAATATTTTCACCAAAAATTTGTAAAATCTTTTTAAATTCGGAAAATTTTATCGAATTTTTATGCAAAAACTTGTCAATTATTCAATTAAGAATATTTACCAATTATTTTATGAAATATCTTGTCGCGCGTGTACAGACACATTTAAGTAGTTTTATCAAGAATTGAAAAAGATATTTTATTAGTTTATCATAATTTTACAAGTAATTAATTGCTAATAATGACAGAGTATGTATTCTATGATGAGTGAAGAATTTCTCTTCTTTCTTCGAAAGGTGTTGCACCTACTCCTCGATCGGGCTGTATATTACTGCCGACTCCGGACAATAAAGTTCTCCTATATGGCGGCTACAGCAAGGAAAAAGTAAAGAAGAACATAGAGTTGGGTTGCATTCACGATGATATGTTTCTCCTGACGCAAGCGGACAAAAATGATGTAACCAAATATAAATGGGTCAGCGTGAAGCAAACTGGGATCCGAATAAGCCCGAGATGTGGCGCTACCGCCACGTTAATTCAGCCCGCCGCTAATCAGGCCTTCGTGTTTGGCGGTGTTTACGATGATGACGGTGATGATGAGGAAGAAGATCTATGTGGAACATTTTACAATGATCTGTTTGTGTTGGACTTGGAGAAATTACACTGGCGCGTTGTAACATTAACCGGGAAAAGAGAAACGACTCTTACTGGTGGCACCGAAAAACGACGAAGAAGAAGAAGAAACCAGAGAGAAGAAAGCTGTGAGGAAGCAGAGCAGAGTAATGATTCAGATGAGGAAGTGATAGAAGATCTTTCGAATTCCGTGCAATCCACAGTTATTGTAGATGATGATGGAATATTCACGGTACGGTTTTTTCGCTTTTTTCACTTTTTGGTTCTTAATTATTATCCTGTTACTGAATTACTATAAATAATGGCACAGACAGGGAGAAGTAAGTCGTTTTAGTTGGTTTTTTTTTTTTTTTTCGACAGCACATTTCACCTACATTTTTTGGTAATTTTTCGTACTTACACAAAGCCCACGCGAATCCAGTTTTAAATTTGGATTAGGTCTTCGTCTCTAAATCTTTTTAGTAATATCATAGGGGTTTCTAAATAAATACCACAAATTTCTTTAAATTCTTTAGTTACTATGTATATGTGTATAATAAGCAAACGTGTGTGTGTTTATACACATAGGTAACGATAGGTTCGACGGAGCCATCGACATCTTCCTCATCGTCACTTCAACCCATCTCGACAGTGACAAGTGACAAAGAGACGAAATTTCTACCATTACCGCGAATGAATGCTGGAATGGCGACGAAGCACAACATCTTGTATTTGTATGGCGGCATAATGGAAGAGGGTGATCGGCAATACACTTTTTCCGATTTCTACAGCTTAGGTATACTCTCATTAATTGTACATATTTGTATTTTCTTATTTTTTTAATAATGTCCTCGTTAATTCTCTTGTTTGCATTTTGTTTGATTTTATTTTATTAACATTATTAAAATGATCAATGCAATTACGTGCATTGCACACACACTCACACGTATGCACGCATGTAATTTTTCATATTGAAAGTCATAGAGAGATTTTGATTATCATATATCATTGAATGTGTATCGTCTAATGGTGAAAATTGTCATCGAATTAAAAGTGATCTAAGAAAGTCATATAATTCCATTCACAAAACAATGATTTTAAAGTAACTTTAAAGTTTAATCTTAAGAAAGAATTTTTTTAATGTTATCGTATTTTTTCTTTTAAATCTATGTATATCTGTACATAATATATATAAGTATATGTATATAATGCAGATTGTCGAAGGCTAGATGAATGGAAAACTTTAATAGCGGACGATTTGTCATCGCAAACGTGGTTCGATTCTTCGGAAAGTTCAGAAGACAATGAAAATGAAGATGATAGTGAAAAAGAGGAGAGTGATGATAATAAATCAGTGAATATTAATGTTGAAAACTGAGTAGAAAAAAAAATAATAAACAACTTGCTTAAATAATTTTCATCTATATTTAAATGAGTGAACATTTTATTACAATCTTTCTCAAAAACAGCAAGTTGAAGTGTTTTTATTACAACCAAAAAATACTAGAAATATAATCGAGAATGTGTGTGTTTGTATGTGTACATACACACATGTAAAAGTCAGGTGTTCGATATATTTATATGTATGCATGAGAGAAAAAGGAAAGGGTGCACGCGTTTACATCCATACATACAAAACACACACGTACACACACGCGTATGTATACGTATGTTTTGATATAGATAAAAATTGATAAAATTTTTTAAATAAAAGTATAAAAATAGATCCTAGATTATATATATTTTATTCCACTGCTCTGTACATGAAAATAAGATTATGAGTTCTCTCATACCATGTCTATATTTAGCGGTTATCCCACATCTTTTATACATATTGATGCAAAAAATAGATGTGTGTAAAAAAATTATATACTTTTATGTAAGAAGTAGAGATAATTTATAATGTTAAAAACAACTTGGCTGTAACAAAGTTATGCTAATTATAAAATTGTCTTTCTTGGGACAAAGCCAGTTTGACCTGATGATTAAATACTTATACAACAGTGCTACTGATTTGCCGATTCTCATACTTACTGAGCAATATAATTTGTAATTTTGGAATAGCCTTTACATAATAGTCTTTCTAACTGTATAAAAAATTGCAAGTTGCATGGATGGAGATACCAGATAAGTTTCTAATTGTGTTAAATTTGTTATTTCAATAAATAAAAGAAAATAAAACAAAATTTTACAAATTAATGTACTTGAAATTATTGCCCGTAAATATAATACGTAAATAAGTAATTTTTTTTAGTTCTTAAACTTGCAAAAATTTTTTTACAATAATATTCTATTGAAATTATTTCAATATTATTTACAATGTCGACGAACACATTACAAACGCGAGGAAACATGTTCTACATATATTATGCAGTTTAGCAATAAATTAGCTTAAATTGCAACAAGTTATATTCATTTTATGACTAGACTTTCGGAACTTTAAAGTGAAAAAACAAATTCGCTATTAAGATCATAACTGGTTCTTCCTGGCCTCCGATACGCTGAATTTGCGATCCTTCAAATTAATCACGACAACCGTGATATTATCGGCAGATCCTCTATAAAAAATATCAAAAGTAACATTAATGCTGGTTTCCTTCGATTATATAAGATCTCTTTTTGGACGGAGATTGCCTTTTTCTAAAGATCTTGTCATTTGAAAAAACAACAACGCAACAACAAACTATAAACAGTGCAAAAAAAATTTTCTCGTTAGCTTTCGGAATAGTTTCGGAGAAAACACAAAATACTTTTTATACGAGATACCCTGCACATCTTCTAAATCTCCAACCCTGCTTTTATATGCATTAAGGTAGGTTTTTATCGACAGTGAAATGCAGCAGCAGCGAGCAGCAGTTCAGTAAGTTTCTTTCCTAGAAATTACTAACTTACAATTAGTTTGGCTCACTTCCGGCGCAAATTTTTGCTGCTCGAAGTTCGCGGGCTTCAACACTGGCAGTGTACCGTATAGGTCCGAACTTTGAGCAGCAAACTGCATTTCACTGCCCACGAAAACCTACCTTTATACGTATGAATAAATTTTTTTATATTAAATCTATGTCTTACCTGTAAAAACTCTGTAACGTAATGCTTTTTGCACCAAAATGTGGTTCATTGATACGCTCTTTGATGAAAGCCACAGCCTCCTCATTCGAAAACGTATCCCATAGGCCATCAGATGCCAATATTATAAACATGGGATTGTGATCATTCAAATCGAATGTTAAAATATCCGGATCAGCAATTACCAGCTTTTTATCTTTTAGAGGATAATCTCCCAAAGCGCGAGAAGTCGCTAATATACCAGCGACTCTCCATACGCCGTCAAAAGTTACCAAACCACCGGCTTTATTTATTCTTCTCTTTTCTCTTTCCTGGAAATAGATTGATTTAATATGACGATTAGAGAAGGAAGGAGCGAAAGAGAAGAAGATTTATGCACGCATGCACAAGGTGGTTCTCTATATTTATATCCGAATTATCCGATAAATTTATTCGTTGATTCCTAGCGATATATAATATTCAGCTATATAGTATGATGATCAATATTTGAATGTATTATAATCTTCGCAACTGTAAATTCTTTCTTAAATTTGAAATAGATTTCCTCTTATCAAAAATAAAATAGCCATGATGTGTTGCAGTAACGTCATGGTTTTGGCATAAATTCCACTATTACTACTACTACTACTGTTGCTATTACTAGAAATATCGTATATAATCACCAATGTAGATTTATTAGCCTCGAATACGCGGACTTGAGACCTGAAGTCATTACTTGCGGATTAATATTATAATAAATATTAATGCAATTACGTTGAATTACTATTGACTTATGTTAAAATAATATTAAATAAATAGAAAAAGCGGTAAATACTTGTTGAGGTTTGTGATCAAAAGACAAAGGAATAGCATTGCCCTTTTCATCACACATTACTCCTCTAGAGTCCCCAACATTCGCTACGATCAACTTATTATCTTCCAAAAGAGCAATTAAAGCAGTTGTACCTAAAACGAGAAAATTGGAAAAAGAATTTAAAAAAGGACATCAACTATAAGTATATATAAATAATAAAATAAACATGTAACCATAAATAATGAGATATGTCTTCGTTTTTTACTTAAAAATATTTTACATCATCGAAAGTTTATATTTCAGAATTTTCTTTGAGAAGAATACAAAATTAGCAATTTTAATTCGTTTCTTGTTTGATTTTAAATGACTTTCTCAGTCATAAATTTTTGTCATTAGGAAAATATTTAAGTGTGATCTTGATATTACCTTCGCACTCTTTTCTTTCAAACTAAAAAATATTATAAAGACAAAAATATCATGTCCAATTCAGTTTCTAAGAAGATTTGATGCCTTTATTTTTTATTAGACGTCTTGTATAAGTAACTAATATTTCATTCGCATTCACGGTAACTCGTTTATATTTCACTGCAAGAAAATTATTTAATATTTTCTAATGTTAAGAGTTGATATGTTCTGCTATATATTTTCTATTCTTTCCCATAAAGACCCGGTATCCGATGGATTGTTTAATAGCTTGAGTGAGATGTAAAAATATTTTTTAGTAAAACAAAGATAAATACCAGCTACATCCATGTTCTTCTTAGCAGTTTCCACCAATAATTTGTCCGCTGCTAGAACTTCATCCGTTAGAAGCCTGCCATAATTGATTTTATTCCCTTCAATGTAATTCATCATGTCCACTTTGAGTACTTGCTTCTCACCCGATCTACATGGTCTGACCTATAAACAAACAGGAGTAGCAGAGCAAAAAGTAGACGATACTTTCTAAATGATAGTTTACAAAAAGAATGTTTATATGTCAACTATGTTGAAAGATGTGAAACAACCATTGTGGAAAATGTGGCATATAATATATTCTATTTATTACAAAGTAGGAAAAGATATGTAGATTCTTCAAAAATGAAAAAATTTTAATTTTTTAACGTCATGTTACGCTACTTTAGACAAACAAACATTTATACGTATGTAAAAAAATATGGAAACCTCAAATATATTGAGAATAAAAAACATTTTTTTAAATATTCAAACAATAATTTCTGTCTTCTTAGCCAAACTCCGACCAAACTTGTGATTAACTTAATCGAGAATTAATTTATAATATCTGCACAGTAATGTCTACAGTATTTTAGATATAATTACATGGATAAAATTAGTAATTTTCTTTGAAAAAGAAATTAAAAAAAAAATTACATTAAGAGTGACGAATTCTTGTTGTATTTAAGCTATGTTGTTAATTCGCTACCTTGCAAATTATATAGAGTAATTTGCATATACACAAGTTATAAACAAATTTCATATACAATCTCGTTTATAAGAGAAATAACTTGAACAACTGATGTTTAAAGTATTTTATGTGCAAATATGTGTGCAATAAAATTATATAATTCATAGCATAATATTAGATAGTATTTGTCACGGATTACGGGTGCTACTAATGCTGATAACCTTACGTATGTTCGTGTATTATTTCAATTGAACGTCTACTATATTCTTACCTCTCTCGTAATCGGCGTTATGCTCTCTAGTTTATCGAGTAATTCTGGATCAGTCACTTCAATAGCTTTCTTCATACAATCATCCGTTAAGGATGTACTTGCGACTTTTCGAAAAGATTTTCTTCGATCTAGAAACTTTTCGTCTCTTTTGTTGTCGTTTTTCTTTTTCTCTAGCTCTTTTAAGATCAGCTCAGTCTGATAAGTGGGTGCTTTACCAGCCAGTAGATTTTTCAATTCAATAACTTTTTCGTTAATATTGGAGATAAGTTTATCGCGAGCATAATTGGCTGCAAACTAACAAGAGATAACATATATATGATTAAAGTGTGCTCTTGAAATATTTTGATCATTTTTTTTTATTTTAAGAAAATTCATTAATCATGTTAGAATATTAAAACACATATTTATTTTCAGTTGTACTATCTTACTTTTTCTCAAAGATTGTTGAATTTATCATCGATTACTCGAACAGTAAGAGAAATAATTATTTTCAGTTTTATTATCTTGTGGTTTTTCTTAAAAATTATTGGGCAACTAAAGTTATGCACACGAAATAGAACACACTATGTGTTTAAATTCTAAGTTAAAAAATTTGTGAATAAGAGCATGAATTATTCATCTGCGCCTTGTGTTTAATATCGATATGCTTTGCGACATTACAATATATATATGGGTAGAACTCGGAGTATTTTTGAAGTGTGCTGAACAGTGCTGAAGTGATTTAAAGTGTTGTTTTGTCCAAATATCTTTCTATTTGCAAATACCATGCAAGAATTTTCCATGTGTCATTTCTCGCTTCTGACGTCATTAAATGAGGACAGCATCAGCAGAGACCAGGAGTCTTAAGATAAAAAACAATGCAATAAATAAATAATTTAATCGATACCTCACCACCATGGCCATCAAATACCGCAAATAAGGAAACTCCAGTATTATTCATGTCGTCGTTCACCACAAAACGGTCTTCCATCCGAGCTCTATGTCCCTGCACAGCATACGCCGCAATGTGATCTTGTTTTAACTCCCAACTAAGTTTTACTCCAGTATTCACTGAATCATTAACTAAAAATTTCAATGTAGACACCTGCAAAAGACGGAAAAAAAACACCTAACATAGAAAAAAGGGATAGATACAATAATATATCTTTATACAAAAGCTATTTTATCTTAACATGACTTTAAATAAAACTTCAAGTACTGTCTATATAAAAAAAAAAAACGATATTAAAAGTATCAAAAGTTTAAACTCATAATTAGAGAATATTGTAATTAAATATCGAAAAAAAAGACCTGATTTTAATTGAAACAATTTTTCATGTTAATTTATCAAAGTAACGGCGTGTATATAAATTAATATAATGCGTCCTTAAAATATATTTGCACCTTAGATGTAGTACGTCCCAGAGTATATTGAATTTTTCCTAGAAGCGCTCTGCTCCAGACATCCACGGCTTGTATGTAAAAGAGAATAATTGCCAGAATCATGCCACAGACTAACACCTCTGGTTTTAGAGCGTAAATCCGCATAATCCTGCAGAGGTAGCCTAATGGACTGTTAATCCCAACGTTTAATCCAGTAGGGATGCTCACGGCAAACTTGGATACAAGCTTCATGTGTGATATATATGTCTGTGCGTATACAAAAATTACAAACAGTTTATAATTTTAAATGGGGAGGGAGGTTATTTAGAAAACAAGAGGCTTGTTCTTTTTAGAAACTTCTTTCAACTTCTTGCACGGTTCATCTTTTTTCTCTTTCTCTTCAATGTGAAAAGAAAAAGAGGAAAGATGAACCGTGCAAGAAGTTGAGCTAAAAAAAATAGGCTCAAGGTTTCATTGATACATGGTGTCATCTAAAAAGGTGGGAATTATATAACAATAAAGTATTTCTTTACAAATACAAAAAGCTTCTAACAAAAATTTAGACAAAGTTATTTAATGTTATTTTTTCTCTAACAACCAACAAATTTTTAATATCTAATATTTTCAAATCTCAAATTAAAATTTATATTTATGTCATTCTTTGTATTTGTCATTGGAGTTGAAAGATATAAAAGTCAATATTTATTCCATACACATATTCTATACTAATTGTTTTGTACTCTAAGATATTTATACTTATTAAATTTCAGAACTAAATAAACTAAAATATATGCGCTCAGCACTGCGTTATGTTAAAATACAACACTGTGTATAATTCGACGTTGTCGAATCTTTTCTTATACGTAGTATTATTTCATCACCTGATACAAAATTCGATCTTCAAGCTCGTCGTCCATAATACTTTAACAGCTCTGATTTGTTCTTGTGCCAGAGGTTGCTTTCCAGAATCGATTACTCCAATCAGTGTATCAGGCTTATTCTTAATAATATTCCGAACGGAGTGGTTAAGCTCCGGAATCTGCACAAGCATGATCAAGCATGAAGTAAGCAGTGGCACAGTTCCTCTTTTTTTTTTTTTTTTTTTTTTTTATTGAAATATAAGAAATATGACCATGGGAGAAACCCATATGGCCTGTTTACATGGGTTGAATCGCAGATTATGTGTTGGATATTTATATTAAGGTCGTATCACACGCACACCTCAATAGAGGTGCTCCAGTCCTAATATACATTCATTTAAAGCTACAGGCCTATTCAAAATAGCTATCTCGAGAGGGAGTGTCGTTATGACACCCACGCAGCCGCGCGCAAAGCCCTATAAGTATTAGGAGAAAGATCCTCCTTGAAACCGAACATAAACCTTATAAACCTAATAACTCGGCTTGCCTTCCGAATCTTTATATGAAAAATTAAAAATAAAAAACACAAAGAAAGAAACGTACACTAAAAATTAAAACTTAAAATTAAGACTTAAAACTTAAACTTACAAATCTAATAAAATTACGCCCAGATAACAATGATAATCAGTTGATCGCTAACTAAATTAACCAATATTGCCTTAAAGTTGAGGCAGAGCACACCTCGATTGCATCTATTCGTACAATTCCTTCAAACATCGTAAGGTGTAATTATCTGTTAAATTCTAATAAGAGGGTCCTTGATCATATAAAGATCGGCAATGAACATATAAACTTTTCCAGAGTGAATGCCACTTCCGGTACAGGGAGCTGAAGTAAAAACTCCAACGAGAAGGGGCCATAACCGAACATTCTAGACAAAGCCTTTATCATCTTCCTCTTCTTTCAACTCCTCGTGGGGGTTAGGCTGAGTTTCCACTGAGCGCGTCACGCGTCGCGTCGTCACAAGTTAACCAATCAAAACATCCCATTTTATTACATTCTTGTGATGGGATCGAAATGGGATGTTTTGATCGTTTTGATTGGTTCAACTCGGACGACGCAACGCGTGACGCGCTCAGTGGAAACTCAGCCTAATGCTAAGACTCCATAGACGCGGAAACGCCGTGCGGTAGAGTGCATTGACCAATCAGAAGGCTGCCGCAAGTCGCCTAGCGGCAAAATCAAAATTTGTGATTGGTCAACGCACTCTGCCACATGGCGTTTCCGCATCTATGGAGTCTTAGCATTATGCTGCGTTCCCATTACGCAAGATCTTGTCGGAAATGAAACGTTTTGATTGGATAACTCATGACGCGGCGTGGTGACGCGACGCGCGACGCGTATAGTGGGAACGCAGCTTTACTCTTTCTTGACCAACTGTAATCTATTCCATTTATATACTTCGTGATGCCCGACCGTTATTACCATAACCACACTAACCACAGTTGTGGCAAGTTTGAAGTTTGTAATTGTAATTGATATTTTGAGATGTCTCGCTGATGGTCACGTTAATAAAGTTGTGTGATGATGTTAATTAATCACAATTAGGCTGCGTATAAAATTCAGCTTACTCTTATTGTACGAATAAATTACCATTTGCGCAATAATATACATATATTCCGCATTGAGAGAGATTGGAAAGAGCAAGTGTTTTGTTTATCCTTGAAGAAGTAGACGTTTCTCGCTAAGAAATACCTGGTTTTATGGTAAGTATTGTTTTACCCTCTTTTCTTTTAGTAAGAGATTGTATAAAAAAATGAACTCCACGAATAGTAATCTCCACAAAATTATGTTTTTTTTTATGTCTGTAAATATGTATATGTATAATTATTGTGTTGCCTGTGCACACTTAGTGTTTTAAGGAGGACATCGTTTTTATGCTTTTCTTTTATCTCATGCATAAAATATAATTTACAAGTTTACATAATTTTTGTATTTTCAGGTATTTTTAAGATGAATCCAATAAAAAGTAAAGCAAATTACTCTGGTTACCTTACGTCGCTACAATCTGAGAATACAGGTTAGTCTACAAATTAATATCTGCTAAAGCATTAAGTTAAAATTGCTTTATATTGGATAACCAATTTTTAATATTGTAATTTCAGTACGGATGATACCTCAACCAGTAAAAATTGCACAGTTGTTTGGTTCATCTGGACATTTACAAAGTGGTCAAAGAAGTAATACTGATTTTTTTGTATATATATTAAACAAATTTTATCGCATGTTAAACAAATTTTGTATATATATATATATATATATATATATAGATAGATAGATAGATTTGATATATTAGATATATAGGTGTGTTTGTTAGAATATCAGAATATAAATAAATTGTATATTTACTTGTGTGCGCACACGTGTGTGTACGTGTAGTATGTACTGTATAATACACACTTAACGTGTGTGCACGTGTGTGCGTGTGTAGAAAGCGAAATATGTATGTAATGTATACATTTTTTATTTTTTCCACGTTATATCGATAACAGAAATCACATATCAATGTATTATTTGCAGATTCATCTATTAAAATAAATCTACCTGAAAGAATTACTCCATATTTAAAAAAACCATCGAGCCAAAAGAAAAATGGTCAGTATTTCTTACTTATTCAGTTTATGTATATAATGTACATTTTATCACGAGCAATTTACACATCTCCCTTATTACACTTTTTCAGTGACAAATACGTGTATAAAATTGCCTCGTAACGAACGAAATGCACGGCGAAATTTAAAATTTACAGAAACATTAAATTCTGTGACAAAAATTGAAAAATGTGCAAAAGCTGGTACGAACGACGAAAATAATTATCCAAAAAAGGAAAACTTGGGTTTGGCTACAAGGAGAAGCTTCTTACTGCCACCGAATACTATAAAAGAATTGTATATTAAAAACAGAAAGCAAAATAAGCTTGAGGTGTCTCAATTTCGCATTTTAACAGTAAGTTCTGAAAATACAAATCCCAGGCTCGCCGAGACATCGACGAGCTGTTCGCCTCCGATGGCAAATATAAGTACGCATGTTGATTCTGTTGTAAATGTGAAGAAAAACAAAACGTCCCTCATACAGAGTATTTCATCGCAAACGTTTAATGTAAACGAACAGTCCGGTATAAACATTTTACATTCCTCCTATTCAGATCTTGCAGATACGGACGCGAGTCTGGTGGAAAAAATCCCAGAGAATTTAACGTCGAATGATTTAATGTCAAATGTTAACATTTGCGAAAGCCAAAATAATGATTGTGACATAATAATCAACAGATCACATGTCTCATTGTCCTCGGCAAGTGATACGAACGTGAGAATTGATACCGACCTGCTGCATAATGATGATGACGTAGATCGAAATAATATTTGCTGTGCGGAGCGCCATTCGCGATTGTATACGACATTTATACTGCCTAACGCAGAAAAAGTAAAAGAGGCGGAAAACTTTTCATTTAAAAAAGTTGATAGAGAGGGATCTTCATCTACAACTTCATCTACAAATATTTATGAAGATTTTTATTCATCTTTACAAACCGTTAAAATGATAAGCGAGACGTGCTTGAATCAACAACGTAGCACTAATGAAGATGAACGTGCAACTCTTAGTAAAACAGAACTCACAGTTTTGGGCGCTAAATTGAACCATCTTGTCTGTAGATTGGAGGAAGATATGTCCGATCTAAAATTAACACTAACTACTGTTACAAAATTGTTATCTGCGACAAATATGGCAAACAAGGAAATTAAAGACAATAATGAAACTAAAATTACGCAACAAATAATAGAAATAACAGAGAATCTAAACGATAACGTGAAAGCGATGGATACGGAACACGATAACACCTTGAAAGAAACTCATAAAATGCTTGACATTAATAGATCCAACTTTTTGGAGACAAATGGAAAAGATAATCCCGAGATGCAGCTCGCGGATCAAATGTATTTTGCTTCTGGAAGCGACAAAGAAAACAAAGAGATTCTGACGTCGCCGATCGTAAAGCAATGTAAAAAGCTTGAAAATTTGAATGCCGCAAATGATAGCTTCGTGAATTTAGAAAACGAGCTGGATATCGTTAACAGGAAATCTAATATACCAATTACACCGTTTACAAATCAGACTCCCGCGAAGAATAAATATCAAAATCAAAATATGCAAGAGAGGCCTATGAAGGAATATATGGCCTTAAAGTCACGTATGAGTTGTTTGTTGACACCTAATATTAAACGATTTAATCCTTCGGAGTCGAGGAATAATATTCATTGCGAAACTGATAATGCAAAAATTTCCGTATCAAATAAGTTACTCGCGGAACTTTATAATTTATATGAAGATTCTCTTTAAATGCATAATTTTGTGTATATATATATATCGAGTCGTGTTATTTCGCGATAATATTTATAAAATATTTCTAAAATGAGAAATGTCATATTCTGTTCATAGAAGCTGATCATATAACTTAATTTATACAACATAATTATAGCGTTTTTATATAACACAATATTATTTAAGACATGTTTTAGGATATATTATTTTTAACGACATTAACGAAAAATTGCTAAAATAAACTGTATTGAACACAAAATATATAAGTAAATAATAAATACTTGGGAAGAAATGTAAAAAGAATTGTAAATGGATGAAATGAATACCATGTAGTAGTCAAATATAAAAAAATCATATAGTTTTTACCTTAAATAAACAATATTGTATATTTGAATTTGTATATTACCATTTTTTACGTCATCGTTGTCAAATAATATTTCATAATTATTGGGATTAATTTTGGCAATGCATTTGTGACGGATTGATTACCGTTACAAACAATTAATAATTGCCGTTGTTAAATAATCATGTTTATCATTAAACATGATAATAATGAGACTGCCTAAAAAATAATAGAAAATACTCGGAAGGAAAATAGTTAATACCTCGTTTGAGCCTTTCACATTATTTAGTTAAGCAAATTTTCTTAGTTTGCTCATAAGTAAATTATTTATTTTTTTATGGTAAAATTACAAATATCTAATTTTAATTTTTTATCTTGCAGATATATACAATACAAGTATTAGATTCACGAAAATTTGGTTGAAATATAGAATCTCCTGCTATGGTATACTTTGTCAAATTATTATCTGTAAAATTATATACAAAATAAGAATCAAATAGGCTCAAATGTCATTTTTGTTTAATTTTTAATAACCACATTCTTTATGGACATGATTTTCATTCTTAAGTTACCGTTAAAACTATCAATTCTGCAATTACATGTTATATTGCTATATTGTATCGAAAAATTTCATTCCCCCCCCCCCCCCTGATTAAGCATAATGCGATGGCGGCACTGTTAAATCTTGTAATACAGCTAGTTGTTCTTCTGTAAAGCATTGGGCATGGCCTCTCATTCCTGCCCAACCGTCGTAATGCGTCCGTTTAAAATCACTCAAAGTTTTCCTTATGGTCATCTATAATTCAAACAAATTAATTAAAACTTGTTCATATAATTAATATAGCTGAATTATACGTATTTCGTATGTATAATACATACGTACATACACACATATATATATATATATATATATACATACATATATATATATTTTTTTTAAATAAAATTTTAAGAAATTTTAGCGACTTATCCTTTGTATGTATGGAGAGAGAACGTACGTACTGATATTTAACAAAGATAATGCGTAAAGTATTGAAGGGAAAAACTTTATTATTATTACCGGTATAGGTTGCGGATCATTCATGTGAAGGCCGAGATGTTCGAAGACTGAAGGCATATATTTGGGCACATCATACGGATGAGCATGAATGAAAGCGCATAGTCCAAGCACACCACCATGACGTATACGTATCGCGTCAATCTTAACGTTTCCCAACGCGTCTTGATTGATAGAATTATTTTTTTTTTGCAACCGGGTTTTTGCTTTTCTCTTGAACTCCTCCTAAAAGCATATAATGATCTATGTATTCGATCTAAATATTCAGGTCTTAAACTTTCTTAGAATCCAGAATTAGAAGATTAGAATCATTAGACCTAGAATTATAAATAATCTTTAGAAACTTGCCAGTAATTTCTCTTGATCTATGATAAACGTGCAGTGCAATAGTCCACCGAGTACTTGACTAGCCTTCTCTCTGACCTCTAAACGATCATCTTCTAACAAGCGCAAAACGATATCTTTAACGCAGTCAATCCATAACACGTTACTAAGAATTATGCCCATATTGTGAAAAACCAATACTTGAAGGAACTCCAAACTAGTGAACCTAGCAGACCACGATGAGTGTTCGGATACTGTTTTCACTGCGGTCAGCGCTACTGACATGTCCTCCGGCAACGTAAATGCCTGTGCGAGTGTCGCCATGGTACGTAAACATGATTTATTAAGCTCCTCGTCCGCTTCCGAGTTTTCTAATTGACATATGATCGGAAATATTTGATAAAATCCTGACGTCGTGGTATACTGCAAAGGAGACAGGCTAATTGTAATCCATTTGCAAACGATTTTCAACAATCTTGTAGGCATCTCCCGTTCTTCCGTTTTGGATGTCGATGCTCCTTTTGATTCATCGACCGAAACGTCAGCCACTTTCTTTAATAAATTCTCCTCTTTGTCAAGATTATTTGGTTTGACTGTCGCGTCGTCATCCTTTACAAGTCGCTCAAGTCTCGGTACAATCTTATCGATCAGAGCCTGCATTCGCGGAGTCGCGGTGTCGGTTGTATTGTACGGGAATCTCAGATCGGTGTTGAATATGGTGACCAACACTGATCCCAGACGTTCTCGGACATTCTGAAATGGATTCGTCAGTAATCGGTTCTCCAAACGCACCAGCAAACGTTGCAGCAGTTCCGTCACCCGCCACGACTGCTGGTTCAAAGCAGACTGTAGCACGTATAGACGACCACATTCCACGAACGAGTCTTTCAGTGGCGGCTCCTCCATTAGACACTCGAGTAGCCAGTGGTGCCTGTTAGGATCTCTATGTTGTTGCATCGTCGCGAAGCACACAACCCAATCTATAACGGTCTCCTCCGTTAGATTCGCGATCGCGGTTCTTATGATGGGCAATAATGCCTGCCACATGTCACACGTCATCTGGAACGGCCAGTGCTTGGCGCCTCTGACGATTCCGGCTGCAATCTCCGCGGCACATCGTTGGCTACTTTCGTGCTTGTCCGTCACCAGCCGCTGCAAATGCGGCAGGAAGTGCCGCAAATGAACGATCCCGTGATTACGAAACAGGCCCTTGAACAGGAAACATCTCAACGCGTTGAATTTATCCTTGCCTTTCTTCTCCTCCAGACTGAAATAATTTATAAGCTTCTCGATATTTTGCGGATCATTGAAGAAGGAATAGATCTCCCTCTCGCAGTCCGTTAACTCGCGCACTTCCGGGTCGAGACAGGGTTGTTGGGACGAAGGTGCGTATACTTGTAGAACTTTTGGCCAAACGTAGTAACCTATGTACGGTTGATGAACATATCTAGATTCGTCCCATTGCTCGGCGGTTAACGGGCGGGTTTCATAATTATACTGAAGCCAAGCGTTGTCAGCTCTTATACCGGGCATATTTCGTAATTTTCCCTCCTCTAATGTGCTTTCGTCGGACAAGCTGCGCACATCAACGGTTACCTAAAAAAAAAAAAAAAAAAAAAGTAGGAAAAAAGCATAAAATTTACGCAAATAATCAATATTTGCTAGACAGAATCCGATGAAATTTGTGTACCTTTGAATGTTTTCGCTTTTGTTGCTTTAACATAAATGTCACCACTCTGGTGGCAATTTTCCTTTCTTCCAAGGAATCGTGTATAAGCGCTTGTAAAAAGTAACGAACCAATTTTGCGGAATAGGTTTGATCCGGATGTACCAAGTCTCGTATGAAGGTCATCGCCATTACTCTGTGCCGCCAATGTAGAGATTCTTCGAGTATACAACGCAAAAGTTCATCGAGCAGATCGTTATACGCCGCCAAATTAGATCGATTGAGTTGCCCAAGGTTTCGCCGACCCTTCTCTATCTCCTTTTGATCAGGCTCGGGCAAGGCTGCTCGCGGAAAGTGTTTCCATAAAGCGCGTGCAGTTGTCAAACACGCGTCGGATATTTCGAGTTCGAGCGCATTCATAAATAAATATTTGCCTATAGTGTCTACGATGTTCTGTTTCAGGCGGATCACAGACAGCTTTTCGGACGGCTTAGAGAGCACAATGGCTGGCCATAATGATGTCACTATATTCAAATCTCCTTGCGTGATAATAGGAGCCGGTTGCGGTCCGAGTAATATATACAGAACACCCTGTAATCCAAATGTTGTTTTATAAAAATTTAATTCTCAATGTGTTTTTCCAAATAAACAATTATTTGTACGTGACGTTTATACGGTCGCTTTTAATATTTAACGTTACCTTATACGCATCGTGATGTTCTTCGGTATCTCTCCCCAAAATATCAATAAGACGAGGCATTACAAGTAAGTGAGAATATGGTAAACTTTTAAAGGCGGAGAAGAGACTGGCTTGAGCTTTCGAGCGTACGTCCGCGTATCTGCCTACAGCCAGAGTGAATAGTTCCAATATTATTCGTTCATGAGTCGCCGTAAGTGCGACCAATTGCGCGATCAGTCTGAGCTCGTGCTGAATATCACAGCGATCCATTATCACCGAAGCTATGTGACTCTTATTTCCCACCAATCTGTCCTCGAACGTCTTTTTGATGACTAAAAAACCCTTGCGCCGTCCGTCACGTTCGCGCAATCGTATCTTTCCCAATAATAGACTAGTCCAAATCTATAATTTAAAAAGAAAAAGAAAAACTGTTGAAATTTTCACACAATGTGAACGAAGAATTTGGCCCAGGTTGAAAAATCTTTTATACACGGATATACAGAGTATACGCATCCGTGTTAAAGATAGAAGCGATGAGTATCAAAATTTAGCACATCATCCCGCAAAACAACATATATATTTGAACAACGTTTAATGTATGTAGCTGCCATACCCGTATTAGTCCAAAAAAACTCTTCGTGTTGTCCTCCGCATTCTCAAGCATCGTCCGTTGGACTTGGCTCATGATCCCGGCGAGATAATGTCTAACATTGCTTCCATCAGGCATCGTAACATACCCTTTCATTCCGCACGTGGACGTTATAGATATATTCCATTTCACGGAAGACTTGATCACGTCGAGTGGTGCCTCTGTCCATACTGGTAGGACAGATTCGGAACCTCTGATAATGCTGCATACGATATTCAAACTTGCCAACAGTTCCTCCCTGCGGAATTATTTATTCATCTATATATTTATGTTAACATTTGAAATAGCTCCTTAACATCTATAAATTTTATACACAAAAATAGAAAAATTTGCATATTAAAATACTGCACTTTGTATTTTTGTCAAGTATTAAAAATCGTATGTGCCTCTATTTTTGTTAAAAATCCGAATTTTTATAATACGACTATACGTAACGCAAGATATATTGAAGATATTGAAAACCACGTAAACACACTGACCTACTTAATACACTAGTATTTTTGCAGTATCTATTAAGCTTGTCAATTTGAACCGTCAAATATTTTGAGAAGATTCGTTGTACGACAGCGATCTCTTCTTCGCCGGGAATATACCATTTGATGCGGAAATTATCGATATCTACGCTTTGACCCCATTCTCTAACGTAAGGATAGTTGGGATCATTGTAGTCTCTCTCGTTGGAACTGTACTGCCATGGAGTGATGGTCGACAATGACGATAAAATGCACTTCAACAGATGACAGGCCAATTTATTGCCGTCCGTCGATCTCAAGAGGAGAACGCGATCGAGGACATCGAACAGCGTATCCATATGCGGTATCAAATTGTTGCCAGGCGTGTCAACGATCGCGGACAGTATAAGCATAGCGTGTAAGAGCCGATGGTCCAAGTTTTCCTCCTTTAGGATGTCCTCTTCTTCGTTTACCAGCGGCAAAATCGTTTGCACGAGCGCGGGCAGTAGCGTGCGCAGGGTATCACGTCCGTTGATGTGAGAGAAACTATTGTACACAACCGCCGCCAATTGACCCGCGACTTTGGTTTCGAGGATCCGTTCCGTCATGAAGGTGCGCAGCTTGTGCAGAGCGCTCTCGAAAATCGCATCGCTGATTTCCCTCAGGAGGGTCGAGCACACACCAGAAAGTGCCGCTTCTGCGATCGACTCCAGCTTGCTCTTCGAGTTACCGCTGCGATTCTCGAGTCGCACGTTCTCCGACGAGCTAGAATCTATAAACATGAACACTCTGTCCAGGAACTGCAATATGAAGTCCTCGAAGCGCGACGTTGCTTCACAGACTATCCTCTCCTCCTCGGTCATAACTGCGGTGGATCTAGAAGAGTCCACAATGGGGATCAGCGTGGCATAAACGGAGATAAGACGGAACGTAGCAAAAGTTTTTCCGACGTCGTTCGGATCAATTCCGGGTAACAACGAAAATAGCAGCGGCAACACGTGCATCGGTCCTTCTGAATAAACATAACCTGTGGATAAAAGTGAAATTATAGGCCGAGGAAAATGGATGTGTGTACATACATACATACATACATACATACATACATACATACATACATACATACATACATACGTACATACATACATACGTACATACGTACATACGTACATACGTACATACGTACATAC